CTAGCTATACATGTATTAAAATGATAAAGATATAACTTAGAAAATAGAAGGAAACCGAAGCAAAGAATGAATAACAACAAATTTGGGTGATAAGAGAAGATACCTATTAACAGTATGACCTTGAACAAGTCACTTCACTGTGCCTCAGTTTATCTGTAAAGTGGTAAGAATGCTACCTCATATGTTTGTTATAAGGCTTAAAAGGGTTAGTAGCATAGCACCAGCACATAGCACTCCATCACTATTCACTATAATTGAATAGTGAATCACTATTCATCGACCTTGAAATAAAAACACTTCTCGCAAAGTCATGGGTTTTACCTGGGTGACTAAGCAACGGTGAATTACAAACTTGAGTGTAGACACTTAATCCTCGCTGAGACAAAATGACTGCAGGCCTGAGATGGCACCCTACCAAGGCGTGTCAGAGCGCCAACCAACCAAGACTTCTCATGGCTAACAAGCTATCAGCGCAATGACTCTCTAAGCGTTAAATTGTGGCCTTAAAGCACAAAGAAAAACAAAAACAAAATATTTGCATCACTCACTTAGCTGTGTGATCATAGGCACATAAACTCATTTGTTCATTTTTAAAATTTGAAATATATTGGCCACATTTAGCTGCTTAATCCTAACAGTCGGACAGAGAATTGCTTATTAGGGGAGAGGGCACGTGTTGAATTCACAGTAGTATGTTGTGGTAAAGGTAAGGGTGCCGTGGGGTTAGAAAGAGGGGAAGAGAGGGCTAATTTAACCTATGAGAATTAGTGAAGGTGTCACAGATGAGAGGGGCTGGGGCAGGTGGAGTGCTTGGTAGAAGTGGGATAGAATGCCAGGCAGAGAAAAAGTAATGTATTTGCTCAGAAATATGAAGCAACGCTGTTTGTATGTGTGGCTGGGGCAGGAGAGTGTGAGTGGTTCTCTGCCATGAGACTAGAGGAGGAGACCATTTTACTGTCCAATGCAGTAGCCACTTGCCACACATAGCTACTGGGCCCAGGAAATGTGGCTAGTCTGAACTGAGATGTATTATAAGTATAAAATGCACAACAAATTTCAGAGACGTCATATAAAAAATGCAAAGTATCTTACTTGCATACTGATTATTAGATACTATAATAAGTGTATTGATTTAACTAAAATATATTGTTAAGTTAATCTCACCTGTTTCTTTTTACATTTTTAATTTGGCTGCTAGAGAATTTTACATTTTCATCCATGGCTCATGTTAAATTTGCATTGGAGGGTACAGGTGTAGATAGACAGAAGATAGAGGGGGAGACACCTGAAACACTATGCTCAGAGGCTTGGATTTGATCCTGTGAAGCAATGGGAAACTTTTGAAGATACTGAAGCGTACAAGTAAAACAACTGGGCCAGACACACTCCTGTAGTCCATGCTACTCAGGAGGAGGAAGAGGTGGGAGGATCTCTTCAGCCCAGGAGTTTGAAACCAGTCTGGGAACATTCTAAGGCCCTGACTTAGAAAAAAAGTTCTAAAACCCCAATCAACCAAATAAGAGGAAAAGGCTTGCAAATAGAGATTTGGGAGCCTCTGGCTCCCAAGTTTCCTCATTTATAAACTGGAGATCATAAAATCTTTTGAATCTGCTTCTTGGGGTTATTTTGAACATTCAATGACATATGGAATATGAAAACACTTGATAAACAGTGCCATATTATGCAAATGTAGTACATTATTATTAATAGCCGTAGGCTTCTCTTCCTGAGAGCTCATCCTCACCCCAGGAGCATTCTCCTGTCTCTTCCCATAGGGCTGTGCTTTGGGACAGCTTGTCTTGTGGACAAGATAATGAGAAAACAAAGAATCAGAGCATGACATCCAAGGACAATGAAAATGCCCTTCTAGGAGAAGCTGGCCTTGTTCCGCCACCAAAAGCCATTTGAACCTCTCATCACCTACGTATAGTTAGAAATTTCGCATTCTGGTTATCAGTTGAAGTTTGTGAGTCATTCATTCTTCCTGTGTTTGCCTGTGAACTTCCAGGGCTTTGCCATCTCTTTCCTTTCCTTTTATACGTAAATGAAAATTATGGCTGTGCCCCTGGGCAGTGTAGCAGAGAGTATTGGAATGGCACACAGAGTAGAACTGCTAATGTTTTCTGCCAGCTCTGAGGAGATGGCACTGCTGCCAGCCATGTTTTGCGATCACAGCCCTTCTGCCCACTCATATTTCCAAAGTTAGTTTATGATTTATAAATTCAGTTTTTTGGATCCTCTAAATGGTCCTCAGTCATCATTCCCAATCTGTGCAAACGAAGTACAAGTCTCTCAATTTTCAGTTTTCCATGGTGTCCGGCATTATCTCTAGGACTACATTAAAAATTGGTCTCTAAATCTCCAATCACTCATAATTTGGTTTACCATTATATGGTAAATAGCCGCAAACATTGGTCCTTTTCCCAAGGGAAGAAAAGGAAAGGGAAGAGAAGAGTATTTCCAAGTTAAGTAATAATAAAGCATCACAATTACAAAGAAACTTGGGGCCCCTGCAGCATGTAGAAATTTCACACATAGCAAATAAGTATGGCTGCCCTGAGTGTGAATTCACAGATCTGAGTTGAGGGTTAGTTTTAAGTAAAGGGTCATAACTTGTTTTACCTGAGTATATTTTTTTTGGACAGAAGGTAAGCTTCAGTCCTGTTTCGGCAACAGGTGAAACCATCACTGTATATACGTCCCCACAAGGTATCTCGGTGACATCACAGAAACTGAGACCAGCCCTTGGGGCACACGTGAAGATGCCTTTGGAGCCATAGAGGTCGGTGCTGTAATTGGCAGAGCCTCTGGAGACTTGCCAGTGGATCCGGATGCCATTAGGGCCCAACCTGTATAATTTCACCCCCAAAGGGCAGCAGGCACCTGGAGGACAAAGGCAAACCGAGTCTCTTATTCAGCCATCTCACAATATGGCCTTGGTTACTACAGAGAAAAAATACAAATAAGCTATTCTAATAATGTGATTAATTACTGGTTAGAGTAGAGCAAGGTTTGAAGGGATGTTCAAGTTCTTTCCATGCTGAGCCACAGAATCAGAAATCCACATGTGAGGGCGGTATGGGGTGGGACTTTTTAATATAGAACGGTGATACAAAAAGTTCCACGCCTGGCAGAGATACTGTATTGCACATGACTCAAACTGTGAGTCAAATGCATGGGATCCTGTCAAGAGCCTTCATAATGCCCTAGTTTCATTTAATCTTAGTGGATAAGATTAAATATAATTCATTGAACTCAGCTGTAATTGAAAATAACAGTTTTCCTCAGCTGAGCAGCATGATGCCTTCGGAGCAGCCACTTCTGTGACAGGCTGGTGACCACGTTTGTTGGTCCACATTTCATCCCTGCTAGCTGATCAGGTGCTTTGATGGGACCTTTTACTAAATACTTTGAGCAGGCATTGTGTGTCAAGCATTAAGTGACATGTTAAATATCAAGCAAGGGTCAGGGACACAGCTCAGTGGCACAGCGCCTGCCTGGCAAGTGCAAGGAACTGAGTTTGATTCCTGGTACCAAAAAAAAAGTACCAAGCAAGCCACCAAATGGTGGAGTCCTCGATAACTAAAGATACTATTGTTTTGTTTTTGTTTTTTTTTGTTTTTTTGTTTTTTTGTTTTTCTCTGGTACCAGGAACCGAACTCACGACCTTGCGCTTGCCAGGCAGGCGCTTTTGCCGCTGAGCTAAATCCCCAGCCCCGATACTATTGTATAATTTTTTAAAAATTATGGATCTTAAATTTTTAAAATTATTATTTGATGTATTCTTTTTAAAAAATTAGGTGTCTAGATAAGCCATGGGGTGGTGCATGCCTATAATCACAGCACTCAGAAGGCTGAAGCAGGAGGATCCCTGCAAGTTCGAGGAGAACCTGTCTCAGAAACAAAGGTAAGCAGTGGGTCATATTCCCAGAACTGGATATCAAGGTGAGAATTTAGGCAGCAAATGTAATGGAATGGGCCAAAAGAATATATAAACCAGTTTATATATGTGCAGCATATGATAAATGCTCTGACGTTATAACTTATTTTGGTTCCAGAAACAACTTTGAAAGATAAGCTAGAAAGATACTGTTATCCCTGTTTTTCTTACCAATGAAGAGACAGAATCATGGAAAATAGAGCAACACAGTTTATAAGAAGCCATTTCTAACTTAGACTCCCAGCTGAAAACTTTTTCTGCTATCTATCCAGCATGCCAAATTTATATTTCAGCCCTCCCATCCATTGTCCCAGGCAGAAATAACAAACTGATCAATTGTACTCTTTCTCCTTAAACTTAAGCCTGACAGGTACCCTCAAGAGTTTTTTTCAAACAGTCTCCAAGCAACCACTTTAATGAATTAGAATCACCCAAGAAGAATATTATTTGCTAGCCCTGCATCTTTTTATTCCTTTTGTCCTCTTCTAAAGGTTTGATCTTTGTGAAAAGCAAGACACAATACTGTCAAAGACAGATGCCTTTGTTCTCTTAGCCTGTTGAAATAAGAAACCATAGAAGGAGTTTGAATGGCTTGGAAAAGAGAAAGGTGGTAGCATAATAATAATAATAGAAGAAAACAATGGAAACCAAATAGAATGCATGATCCAGTGCTCTCTGAGAACTGCCAGGCTGCGTGCTGCAGGCTTTATGTTGCATAAAAATACACCATCCCCTCAGAGCACATATCCTTGAACCTTGTTACCAGGGAAGGCAATTTACCAACTACCAACAGAAGCTTCTGAAGGGTTCAGGTTCAAAGTCAAGTGGGAACTGTAAACATTTTAGAAAGTATTGTACGTTGATAATGCAAGCTGCGTGGAGTTGCAGCACCTTTTTGAGTGCGAAGGAAAAGTTGTGCCTGGACTTTGAACAATTGAGTCATCTCTTGTACTCTAGTACTAGAGTTAAGAATTCACTTACTAGAGAAATAGCTTTGGTAGGCGCAGTCTGAAGTCAACCCAGAGGCACTAATTGCTTTTAATGCCACTGTGTAGTTGATCCCACACGTGATACATCCCAGGAGGCAGTGACTCTGATGGGTGTGACACTTAGACTGTCCCGTGTGTGACTCCAGAACTGTCATATAGGTTTGGGCCACTGTCTCAAAAGTCCAGCTCACGTTGATTACCGACTGGGTGACCTGAGTTATTGTTAGACCAGCTGGGCAGCATGGCACTTGAATGAGGAAAAAAAGGAAAGTGGGATTTTATTTCTCCTGAAGAATATCTGCGAAAAACAGCCAAGAGTGATACTTTGCCTCTATTTTATCCAATATCCTAAATTTATAGTATAGTTGCAATAAAAGTATTTTGCCTTTGTGGAGCATTTATAGTATAGTTGCAATAAAATGTATTTATAGTATATAAATATAGCATTTATAGTATAGCTGCAATATACTATACTGTAAATATAGCATTTATAGTATAGTTGCAATAAAATGTATTTTGCCTTTGTGGAGCATTTCATAGAATATCACTGCTAAGAAAGCTTGATTTCCTAGGCCCCTAAGAACCACAATCATCTCAATTTTCTAGGAACCCCTTATATAGGATGTAGGATACTTAGAACCTCCATGTGTATTTAGCGTCTTCTCTTTTCTGCTGCTTTTTAAAGGTGTTTTAATTTTTATCACCCCAGGTGTCATCTACTGTTTTACATATAAAAGAAATAATGTCCAAGTAAATAATTTGCTAAATTCCCTTCATACACAAGGCTATGAAGCAGTAACAGTTTTCTTGTATGAATCTTTAACTACTCACCCGGCACTGCACTGAATGCTTTGCAGCATTAGTTAACTTAATACAACCACCTTGTAAGACCCTATCTTCCTCTTACTGATTAGGGATCCAAAACTCAGGAAGCATTTTTTAGAGTAAGATATGAATGAGCGGAGTGAAAGAGATAAATAATAAACCCTCCCATTCACTTTACTTGTTAGCTGTTTTGATAGACTGTATCGTGGGAGAATATAAACTCTAACAAATGCTTTTGCAGAGTCCACGTCTTACTCCTCTGATGCCAACGTAAGACAATACCAGGGTCTTTTGGTGATATTTTTTTATTTTTATTTTTATTGTTTTTTTTCCGGTACCGGGAATCGAACTCACGACCTTGCACTTGCAGGCGGGCGCTGTGCTGTTGAGCTAAATCCCCAGCCCCCTGGTGATATTTGCATAGACCTTGTAAAATGTTGAAAGTTCTATTTTCTAAGACTGTGGTTTTTGAAAGACCCCCGTGCTTGCTGCATTTCTGATACACTAAGGGTAGATTAAATAAAGTTTATGTCTTAAAATGATTCCTAAGGCTCCCAGGGAAGTCAGTGTTCAGGCTGATGCTTGCTACATACCTGTTTCCAGGGGCACACTGTAGCTGGGCAGGCTCCGTCCTACCTCTGTTTCAGCCACCGCGGTGACGGAGAACACTGAGCCGCAGGGCAGGCCCCCCATGGCGCAGGCCGCCCCCTTGCTGCTGCAGCGGTACAGCCCCTTCTCCCCCTGCGCAGTCACCGTGTAAACGGCATCATCATTAGCGGCTCGCCAGCGCACGTGAATTGTGGAGAATGCGTCCTTTGAAATATTTTCTATCTCAGGGCTGCAAGGAGCTAGGAGATTTTAAGTTATTACTCGAAACAGCTTGAGTCAAAAAAAAAAAAATATCTGTGCCACTTGATGTGCAACTGATTTTCCCCCAAGTAAGATCTCCGTGGTTGTTGACCATACCATGCTTGTAAGCCAGATTCTTAGAGCCCCTCTGTAGCAAACTGTTCACCCTGACATAGGGTATTAGAGTCCTGCATTGTTGAGCTAGCTGGAAACTGTTTAAGAGCATTTTGCACTCAAAGGCAAAAGAAACGAAGACAGACATTATTCGCACGCAGTCATCATGTGTGTACAGGCATCACGTTTACCTTTCCATGATGTGTAAAGAAAAAGGAACGAAATAGCTCAGGGACTAACTAGTCAAACTTTCCCCCTCCTCCCGGCCCCCTTTTTGTGTTCTTTCTTTCCGTCTTTTTCTTCCACCTTGTCCTCTGCCTCTCCACAGTACAACAGGGGCTCTGTTGCTCCCCACTGAGTCGTTAATGGAATTTAACCTTTTTCTAGGTCTTGCTGTATGCTGGACCTGAGGCACGTAGTGGGGTGGGTGGGGGAGGAGGATCATTCAGACACCAGTGCAGGAAAGCCCAGTTGTACCAGGGTACCTGTAGTGATAAGGCGGGAAGTGCATGACATATTGCTGCCGCGGACTTCGCTGAATGAATACACCGTGACATTGTACTTGGTGTCACACTCCAGAGCCGAGAGCGTGCAAGCAGGAGCAGTGTCATTGCACTCCACCACACTGTACCCGGCTATAGCTTTGGTTTCATAGAGTTCGGCACCGCGGACAGGAGACCAGACGATCTCCACTCTGTCACTAGACACCAACACGGGGTTAATGTCGCTGGGACAACAGGGAGCTGAAAGCAGAAACAGAGGGAACCGAAGTCACTAAAAGAGCAATGCCATCAGAAGGCGTCATCGAGTCCTGACCGTCCTAGGTCAGAGCCTCTGCCCCTGTCTTCCCAAACTACTACAAGGAGCTTCCTCCAGGTCCGTTCCATTCCAAACAGGCGTCAGTCTCACTGCACAGAGGTTGAGTCCTCAGCATGACGTTCAAGCATGCAAGCTGTAATGTTCAGCTGTGCTTTCGCCACCCCTGCCACGTCAGACTTCTCAGTCCCCTACCTCACATGTGCTCCTGCTTCTCTCTCTGCCAGGCGTCTTTCCCTGACTCCACCTGACGCAGTCAACCTTGCTCTAATTTTTCAGATCCTTTCCAGACACTAAGCCAGATAAAGCTGGGGCACATGGGGGAACGTAACTGTATTAGTAGATCATTGAATCCCACCGATAAATGTCTAAGTCAGCGTGGGGTTTCTTTGGGATGTTCCCGCTCCACCTACATTCCATCCATTCTTTAACTCTAGTTCAAGGCCACTCCCTCTAGAAGGTTCTCCTCTGTTCTTGAGATCTTGTTGATTCCAAAAGAACTGATTATTTGGATCCCTCCGCCTGATAACATTCATTATAATCCAGCTAGTACTGTTACATAATTATTTCTTTGTAAAGATAGTTAATCTTAAGGCATTATTCATTCTTTAAATCTCAAGCATCTCTCGTAAGTTGATCACACTATGATAAATACTGAGGACAAAGAGATAAAGAAAACATACTCCCTGCCAATACAAGGTCCAAATCTAGTAGACGATGATAGCAATGGTAAAAATGATGCTGATAAAAATATTTGAAGCTAGGCATGGTGGCCCACGCCTGTAATTCCAGCACTTGGGAAGCTGAGCCAGGAGAATGGCTGTGAGTTCGAGACCAGCCTGTTCTACAAAGTGAGTTCAAGGCCAGCCTGCACTACATAGTGAGACCCTGTCTCAAAAAATTTTTTTTGAATTCTGTTTTATCATATATAAAGACCTTTTCACATTTGTGTTATTATTTTTGTTCCCTCTTGTAGTGGAGGATACTAAGTAGCCAGGAGGACATCTTTATTCCCATTGTATGAATGAATTAGTGGTCAAGTTAAGACTTCGACCCACCTGCCCAAATTCAACGCCCTCACATTATGTTGCATCTTGGCCACTGCATCTGTCTCTCTAGTCCCAAGGAACCAGGGACTTCTAAAACGAAGGGTTTGCATCCCCTTCAGATCTACCATAGCCCTGAACATCAGTAGACCTTTTTGAAAGGTTCAGTTTTTCAGAGCAGGATTGAGTAACTGCATTCTTTCCTCTCTTTTCATTTCTTAACCTTGCATTCTTCTAAGCCCACATCTACAAAGCCAACTTTTCTTAGTCTGAAAAGCACATGAGACAAAAGATTCACTTTGTTTTCTTGGCCCTAAAAAGACATCCGGGTGGTGAGTCAGTAAGTAAAATAAACGATCCGTTCTCTGTTGCTGACTTCAGTGAACCAGGAGCCCCCTTCTCAAGCATCAGATGTGACTTACCTGTGGTATAATTGAATACATCACCCAAAGGACTTTGTCCTGCCTTGTTATAGGCAAAAACACTAATAAAATAGGTGAAACCACACTCAGACAGGAAGTGGCACAGGGTGAGGGATGTGTTGCAGTGTACTTCCAAGCCGTCATCACTCTTTACAAAAGCCACATAGTAATCACCCAGATCAACACTGGACCAAGCCACAGACAGATGGCCGGGGGGATCTTCTTGGACTGTCACTCTTGCAGGTGCACAAGCAACTAGGAAATGATGAATAATAAACCGCTGTAACACTATTGCAACAGATTTCTTCGCATCTTTGCAATTACCCAAGATGGTAAGACAATCCAAATCAGCAACTCCAAGTTTTGCAACAGATTAAATCTGGTGTACAACATGCAAAACTATGCATCAGAACCATTAGAAAATTTTCTTTATAGAACCAAGTGTGTGCTGTAGGGCCTAACCGCTGTAACCAACTCCAGTGACCTACCCATATTTTCTCATTGGATGTAATATTGTTTAAAATGGGCTGTCAGAAATTTTTATTCACTTTAAAATATGGAGATTTTCATTGTTTGAGTATTTGTTGAATCATTTGACCTCTGAGAGATGCAGCCAATCTGAAGTGAGTGAAATAGGGAATACCCCAGAAGTTAACCTGTTTTGGAGATAAAACTTTAGCTACTTGTACTTTCTATTAACATTTTATTAAGCCTTCCAACAATTCCTTTCATCTCTGGAAGTGATGCATTGCTCTACCACTTAACTATACCCCCAGCCTGCCATAGCTTTTAAAATTTTAGTCACCTTTAATGGAAATCTTCCTAAAATATATTACGTATTTCTGGGCCTCAGGAAACCACAGTACTTCTAAACATAGTTCTTCTATTGGTAAATTAAGGTTATTGTCACAATAAAGACTGATTTTGTTATGTACGACTAACTACAGTGCACTTCCTGACAGATAAGTGCACAGGACTAGTCAATGGGACTTAGCCCTGACGGCACGTTAGGATCAACTGGGGAGCTTTTCACAAAGTAGTCATATCCAGACTCTATTCCCAGCAGTTCTAGTTCAACTGGTCTTAGGTGGGACCTGGTGTTAGTGTTATGTCTTGTGTCTAGATGTCCTCCAAAGCCTCCTTCCATCATAGGTGAGGCTTTTTCAGAGGTGGCTGAATCTAAAGTGTGTGACTGATTTATGGTTCAATGCTAGGATTAAGGGTACTAGAAGTAAGGGTGGGTGATTACTAAATCAGTCCATTGACTTGTTTGGCACCACCCTAGTTCCAGTAGACTGGATACAGTATAAGGGACAGAAAGAGGCTTTCCTTGTCTGTTGCTTGCTTTGTTACCTTCTGCCCACCGTGAACTGTTTCTCCTCTGCGATGCCTCTCTACCATGCCACCCTGCTTTAGAGCCAGCTGATTATGGACTGAAACCTCTACAGACTGTGAGCTAAATAAGCCTTTTCTCTTTTAACTTTTCTCATTGTCTCAGCAATGAGAAAAGTAACTAAGACACCTGGGTATCAAGATTTTATAAAAAGCTCCCCAGATCCTTTTAAAGTGCATCCAAGAATTAAGAACTCCAGGTGGTTCTCTCCTACATTAAACAACTAATTCAAAACTGCTGTGCTTTTGAAAGTGTTTCTTATTTCTTCTTTGGTCCTCAGCTGTCCTATCCTCATAACCAGTTCAAATGTACTATCCACATTAAATTGTAATTGTCCAAAGAGAAGCCAAATCACCACAATTTATTGTAACACTAAGAAACTGTGGGTCTGGGGAATTGGCTTTGTGTGTGTTTCTCTGTGTAGAATAGAGAGCTTAGTGATAGTTCTTTCCTCCCTGCTCAGAGCCTTTTAATGTAGGAGGACATAATTCTGACTGTTGAATAAAGTGGACGTTATTACATTTTCTTTGGCTTAGAGGATTGAAATCAGGAAAATCTGAGCTTGAATCCATTTATTATTGAAATGTCCTTGAGACAATTATTCACCCTCTCTGAGCTTCAATTTTCTTATCTGAAAAGGGACATAATAGAAACCACTGAATTATGTTGCCGTAGAATTAAATAAAATATGTATTAAGGTCTTTGACAAAGAAAGTCTTCACAAAACATTAGTTTCAATTCCCAAAACACATAAACACTTTTAAATAGCGGGGTAAACGTCCACGTGTGTGTGTCTTTATATCTTGGGTAACAGTAGAAATGGGAAAATATCTGAACACATTCAGAACTAGAAATGTCCCATCTTTATCTTCAAAAAGAGTTTCTACCAAGCCTTTATCATGAAACATGAGGTCAGGGAGAGGCAGTTATCTGTACTGCACAGTTAAAGATATATGGCTCCAACTGGATCTTAGGGTTGTCTTAACTTTATAAATAGAAAAGAAAGCAAATGCATGAAAGATCTAGGATAGGAGCCAGTCACCCTAATTTTCAAATACAGTGTCTGTGCTGTTCAGTGCACAGTATCTGGTTTCCCATCAATATTCAAACCCATTAGAATGTCCAACTTGACTCATTCCTTTGAACCCAACCTTTTCACTGTTTGCAGAATGCGGTGAAGCACTGTGGGAAATTTCCCACCGCTTTTCCTATGGCTGTCACTTTGACCTGCCAGCCCTGCAGAGATCACACCCTTGTTTACATACCCGTCTTTAGCCTTACTGCTGAGGAGGACTTGCTAAACCCGGCGTCATTACTTGCTAACACGGAAATCAGGTACTCAGTTCCACACTGCAGGGAAGAGACGCTGCAGGAGCTGACACTGGTGCTACAGCTAAGCTCGGAAGGGCCACTCAGCGCCATCACGGTATAGTTGAAAGCTCCTTCTGTCGGTGTCCAGGAAACAGATGCCTTTAGAGCCCCACTGTCAAAAGAGACTTGGATGTCGGCAGGGGCATGAGGACCTACATTTTTGAGAAAAAATTAGGATTTTGTAGTAACCTGAAGAACCCAAGTAAGATTTAGCTTAACAATATTGAGGAGCTCAGAGGGTAAATATTCTTTTAGAGTAACTAGATAAATGTAAGTGTTCAAAGAGTAAGATTGGGATACAGGGTCTCTAGGAGCTTGTAAGACATCTCCCATGAATGATGTAAACTCATCATAATCTATGTGACCCTGGCCATATCATTTGGTCAAATTGTTACTTTCTCATCCATAAAATGGGTATGGTAGAATCAGTGTAAGGTACATATTTTGTATGCAAGCATGCATGAATATACCATTTAACAAATGATTGAAGAATAAAACAAGATTATCATGGGGAAGGGGGCTGTGAATGTAGCTCACTGGCAAAGCATGTGCTTAAGCATCACAAGGCTCTGAGCTGGGTCCTCAGCACCACAAAAACAAACAAGTAAATAAATAGAAAAAGAAACCAAAAGGGCCGTATGAGTAAGGGTTATATTATGAGTCAAACATTTTCTCTATTATTGATTAATGAAGCTAAACATATCCCTTCTTTATTTTTAACTGCTGCAAAGACTGTACTGTAAGAGCCTTTAAGTCATAATTGCTTCTAGAGGAACAAAGTTGCTCTCCATTCTAAATCATAGGGAAGGAAAGAGCTGGGTGTAGTGACACATGCCTGTAATCCCAACACCCTTGGGAAGCTGAGGCAGGAGGATCACAAATTCAAGTGTAGCCTGGGCAACTTAGCAACTCAGCATAACCCTATATCAAAATAATAAAAGATCTGGAGATGTAGTTCAATGCAAAGGTCCTGGGTTCAGTCTCCAGTATTTTTTTAAGAGAGGAAGGAAAAAAAGAAAGGAAGAAAGAAAGAAAGAAAGAAAGAAAGAAAGAAAAGAAAAGAAAGAAAAGAAAGAGTCTTAAGTCATCAAGTGTGATGATTACCTATCAAGGCAATCTTTGTGTCTTTGCTACATTTTCTTCTCATTCCTACAAACTATGTCTGGCTTTCTTCAGTGTTATCCCATTCAAAAAGCTTGGTGGTACACTTCTGTAATTGCACGCAGAATTCCACTCAGTGCTCAGAAGGCTGAGGCAGGAAAACCGAAAGTTTGAGGCCAGCCTGGTCTACATAGCAAGTTCAAGCAGGCCTGGATTAAATAGCGAAACCCTGCCTCAAAACACAAAACAAACAAAAAAAGCTTGAGGAGATGTGCTCTGAGCTGAGGAAAGATTGGCCTCAGCTCTCCTTTGGAACTTCTGCTCTAGTGAAGCGCATGCGGCAGCCACTGGAAGCTGCTTGGACAGCTTGTGAGCAGAGATAGCACCCTCTGGACACATCTAGGGCACAGGGAAGGCCCTGTTTGAGGACAGAGGGACTCAACTAATTCTCTGCAAGGCAAGCGCCAGTCGTATTTCTCTTCTGGGCCCTCTTGGCAGGCTCCTTCCGTTACTGCGTGGTCAGCTTTTTCACAGAGGCACGTCTGTTTCAGGATAGTGCTAAGCCCAAGGCTGGCAAGGGTAGCCCACAGTATTTTAGGACAACTTGCTTTTCCCACATGGGGGCTGGGAGAGCTAGGAAAGTTAAGTAGAACAGGGGAAGACTGCCACAAATTTATATGTTGAAGTCCTAACCCTTAGGACACTCAGAGTGTGACCCTATCTAGAAATGGGGTCAGAGCAGATGTAATTCATTAAAATGTCTTTATAAAAATACAGAAGTTTGGCCACTGACATCTGAGTACAGAGGAAATGTCATATGAACATAAAGGTCGTCATCTATAGGCCTAGGAGAAAGGCCTAAACAGTTCCTTCTTCCACACCCCTCAGAAGCGACCAATTCTGCCAACACCTAGATTTCAGACTTACGTAGCTTCACAACTGTGAATTGTGTCACCTTCTGTTGTTTAAACCCCCCAACTTTTGATGCTTCCTTCAGCAGCCCTGGCAGACCCAGACAGAGGCTACATCCAAACTCTCAGTTTTAAAACACAGAGAAACAAAAGGAAAGAAAGACTTCAGTGAACCAGCTTGCTCTCTGTCCAACCCACTATAGATGCGCCAGTCTGTCTCACTCTGCCTGTACACCTATATCAAAGCATTTGTTACACAGAACTGTGACCGCTGATTTATGCATCCTTAAACATAAGCAGTTCTTTGAGTGTAGGGATCATGCTTGATCTGAATTTGTTTTTCTGTCAGATAAACTATGCTCAGAACAATGTAGGCACTCAACAAATACTTGTGGGAAAATGAATGGAGGGAGGTGGAAAAGCAGAGAGAAAGAAACAGAGAGAGAGAGAGAGAGAGAGAGAGAGAGAGAGAGAGAGAGAGAGAGAGAGAGAGAGAGAGAGAGAGAGAGAGAGAGAGAGAGAGAGGAAATGGCCCAGGGAGCCTGGTTTGTCATAAGCATTGTCACACATCAACCCATATGACGGCACGCCTGTAATCCTAGCACTTGGGAGGCTGATGCAGGAGGATTGCTGTGAGTCAGGCTAGGCTACAAAATGAGTTCAAGGCTAGCCTGAACTGCACAGCGAGACCCTGTCTCAAAAAGACAACAAAAACAAAAACAAGAAAACAAAAAACCCCTATGACGAATCACCACAGCTATTTGCTATGGTTTTTCCCTGTAGAAATATTACACAAGGCAAATTCTTCTCTTCTCCCTATATTTCTGCCTTGCCCTATAGATGATGGAGCTTCCAATCTTTTCCAAACTTGGGGAAAGCTGAAGGGAACATTTCTGATTTCTTCCCACCCTTTCCTTTGTCCTTTCTAAGGGTTAAAACAGCTAATCTGGTTAATCTATTTGGTGAGAATCTGGCGTTTATTTAGGTCGTATTGCCCGGACAACGTATTCAAGATAAGAAAAAGTCTCCACACCCTCTCCCTTCTTTTGATTCATTCCAGCAGCTCAGCTTGGATGTCCAGCTATTATGCAGTAGGATCCCCTTCAGGGTGTCCCTGGGGCTGGTGAAAGAGCACAAGCCACAGCCCAGCTTCTCCGCCTATGACTGGAGAAGGGTCGGAAAGCCCCACGTCAGCCTTGGGTCTAAGTTAAGGCCTTGGAGAGACCATCTGAAACACTGAGTCCCATCACAGCATAAAGCGCCGGGACAGCAGGAACTTGGTCTGGTTTGCCGCTAAAGCTCTGGAACAGTGCTAGCCTCAAGCTGGCGCACGCTCAGTAAATGTCTGTGGAATAAATGAATTCCTCTTTGGCCCAGTTCTTTCTGTTTGGACTACTGGCCCGAACCTAGGAAGGGGCGAGGGGTGATGGGTAAACCTACAAGGATTGTCTCCTTTGTGTGATACTGATGCTCACGCTGCGCTGCAAATGAGTCGGATATCGGAGGGGGCCGAGCAGGTATCAGCAGGGGACGAGCGGCTCTTGTGTGTTCTCACAGCATTCCTTAGCAGTGCGGTAAGCATTTAAACTGCTGAGAAGGAGTCAGGACGCTATAAATAACTTCATAATAAATTTAAAAACAGCTGCTGCCAGCTGCTCTGTGCTTATCACTTAACATTGCTCTTGGTGGCTGCAATGCCCAATTTCCTCATTAATCAAAAATGAGATTATTCAAGGCTGAGAGGAGAAATCCTTACTTGTCCTCTGATTGCAGGTGGAGTCATCCCCTGGGATTCCATTTGCATTCCATGCATACGCCTTCACGGTGTAGAGAGTCCCCGCGTCTAAATTGCTGAAGGTCAAGGAAGTGTTCGTGGTATTCTCTTTCCAAATTCTACCCAAGCCATTGGCTTGCATAATGGACACGGAAAATCCAGTTGCCATATACACAGCTTCCCACTGCACAAGGATTGACTCTGGACTTGGAGAGCTTACTTCTAGAATTGGTGCAGCCAACACTAAAAAGACAACACAGCAAAACAAAAACAAAAACAAATGTGTCAGCAAAAGCCCACGGGAGGATAATTCAAAGTTTTTAGCAATAAATAAATTAAGATTGATTATCCATACTGTGAAATAGCTATTAGCTTTGTAAAAGGGTTCCTGGCAGGATTCCATTAAATAATTGCTACTTACATGTGTATTAATCATAAATAATGTGGCAGAGAAATGGGGCAGGTTCAAATAATGGGTACCACTTTGAACTGGAGATTGGTCATAAAATATCAATGTAATAATATAAATCAGTGGGAGGAAGGGTGGCTTATTCTGTTTTAATGTGCATATAACTTTTTAGAAATAGGCCAAAGTTCACCTTTGTCAAATCAATTTAATTAATATTGATTACAAATTTTAAATGCTTTTGTTTGTTAATGTGTACTAGGTAGTCAAAGAGCAGCAAAAGTCTTGCTATGTGTTCTGTATTTGATATGATTAAAAATTCCTCCTTTTCAGAGATTTAAAAGCGGATATACTTTTTCTTTTGCTTTTTCTTTCTTGAGACAGTCTTACTCTGTGGCCCAGGCTGGCCTTGAACTTGTAATCCTCCTGCGTCCCTCAGCCTGCATAGGGATGCTTTGGAAGATGCACAGAAGTGGGCTTTATTTTCTGAAGCAAAGCATCAGGCCTTTAAATGCCACCTATTCTTAGATGTCTGAGTTGTCACAAAACATCATTTGATTATTTTCACTTCTGAGCCCTTAACGGTAGCACTTATATGACTCCAAGTTACATTACGCCTTTGTAGCACCAGTGTAAATGGTCCAGGGCACACACGATGAACACCTGTCTTTGCCTGCTTTGGAGGCGATGCCTGGCTTCTCCCGGCCGCACTGATGGATCTGATGGTGATTTGGTACAAGGTTGCAGCCTTCAGGCCCGTCACAGTGCCCGGGGAATTGGCCACCATGGTTTCAATGACGGTGTCTCCGTCTGCAGCCGTGAGCAGGTAACTGGTGGCCCCCGGCACTGTAGCCCATTCTACAGTGATACTGTTGCTGATTTTTGAATATGCCTGATCAATAGTAGGTATTTCAGGAGCTGAAAGAAATTTTGAAGTTGCGCATTAGCCAGGCTACATGCAAATGTTACTTCTTTCATCATTTTCCTCTCCAGACCGAATCATTCATGTACCATCCTTTAGCCATAAGCTTTGCCCTCGTATCCCAGATTTAAAAAAGAAAGAAAGAAAAAAGAAAGGTATGCTTGCTCTCCAGGAGAGAGCTGGATGCTCAAGCCTCCCAGGCAGTGATGAGATTTCAGAGGGTTTTCCTAGTTGCCTGTGGGGTCTTTGGCACTTTTTGTAATCTTAAATGAGAGTGGGGAGTGATCACGGGAAGGAGCTCTGATCAGAGACAGAGAATAACTGAGGAGCTTTATTCCGGAGGATTCTACTCTAGTTTGGAAGTCCGCAAATTTCCCCGGCTGCTTTGCCACTGGTGTCAGTCCCCTGTCCCCAGACTGGCTGCACAGCTTCCAAGCGGGCCCACCTCCCTCTCCACCTCCCCCAGTTGCCGTGGTCACTGCCGCAAGCACTCTGCACATTCCCCACATGGGATTTAATCTAATGGAGGAGGGAAGGAGAATTGAATCCTTTGTTAGAATTGCTGCATACTACATTTAGTATTGGAATGGAACAATTTTTAGATTCCTATCTATAAAATAAAAGTAAGCGTCATTCTCTCTTTCTTATCCAAACATCTGCCTCAGGATAAGAATGAGATGCTATGGTCTGTCCTTCCTGTGCACCTGGCTGTGGTTTGTCACAGGGATATGAATATTTAGGTGGAGAGTACAAAGCATTCCTATATTTTGGGTATGGGGTGGAAGGCACAGCATGATAATTAGATTTACTGCTTCAAAAATATATGGACACAAAAATGTTTTGAATGTAGGAGATCCAAGTGGAAGGGGTCGAAAGAGCCATGCACCTATCCTCCCGGCTACTGGGGAGGGTAAGGCAGGGGGATTCCTTGAGACAGTGGGTTCAACAGCAGCTTAGGTAACACGGTAAGACCTGTCTCAAAGATAGTTTTTTAAACTGGCACCTGGCCATCTGATGGGCAAAATCACTGGCAAAGTAAAAACTGAAGGGCAAAACAAACAAGCAAAACGATAAGACAAGAAGGCAGACAGAATAAATACAGATGAGTGATCTGCAGGATCAACTCTCCCCTCCCGCCAGCCTTATCCCTGGGACATAATACAGACAACCTTCTCTTTCTGTACCAATAGCCCAGAGAGTTGGCTTTGGCAGCATATCAGCAATAACTATTCTGCAAAAGTGAACAAAGTCTCCATTGTGTAGGGGCCAGACATTCCTGGAACATCACCCAGGACTGTCTTTTGCCATGGAGAGGAAATCATGAGGGTTATATACTGGCAGAAGATACAGACCTGATAGCCATTTGCCAGTGCAAGCTGATTCTTCAGGAAGAGCCTATGTCCCCTTTGGTCCTTGCAGAATAGAAAGCCTAGCAGGGCGTTCCCCTTCCATCCTACCCACACACACCCCTCTTCTGATCTCCCAACCACTTCTCTTGTGCTCTATACTTCCTTTTCTCTAATTTTCTGGTGTCTCTCAGCTCCTGTTTCCTTTGCCCCCCTCATTTATATTATCTCCTGTGATAGGCAGCCCTGCTTTACTGGAACGGACTAACTTCCTGAGAAAATGATAAACCAGATACGCACAGGACATGAGAGGCATGACAGTGCATTCCTAGAGTGGGCCTAAAGGGTTATCGTGTCACACGCTATCCTGCCTCGGGCCTGTCACAGCGCGGAGGATGTCATACAACTTGCCCCATCGTCATGCTAAGGAACTGGCTTGGGAGAGGCACATTTGCGAGGAAGGAGTCAGAGCAGAAGCCAGTGTCTGCAGAGTGAAACTCAGGATAGCACGGTGAGAAACAGCAAAGGACTTAGACTCAGGAGCTCTAGGTTTGAGCCCCAGCTCTGTGTTTTCACCTTGGTATGTGAAGATGTGCAAACATTTAACCTCTGTCAGTCTCGGTTTCATTCTTTGAGAAATGTGGAATATTAATAACATCTACATTTTAGGATTTACTTTGAAATAGAAAGTAGCTATGTTTTAGGATTATGGTAAAGATTAAGTGAAATATTGTATGTAAGGGCACATTGAAAGTATGCATGTGAGGCAGTCACGGTGGTGCACATCCGTAATCCCAGCTACTTGTGAGGCTGAGGCAGAAGGACCACAAGTTCAAGTCCAGCCTTGGCAACTTAGCAAGACTCTGTCTCAAAATTTAAAGATAATTTTTTAAAGTTCTGGGATGTAGCTCAGTGGTAGAGTGCTCCTGGATTTGATCGTGTGTGTGTGTGTGTGTGTGTGTGTGTGTGTGTGTGTGTGTACCAAGGTAAGTACAGCTGGACTTGGAAAGGCCAGACCGGATGGCACTGCCATGGAGCTTGCCAGGGAAACTGAGGTTTAGGGGATCCTGGGGCAAGCATAGATTTGAAAGAGAGACAGGCTGCCTATTTTACGATCTGCTCCAGTAGGCTCTGACCAGCATTAGCCAGGAAAGCAGACTAACACCTCTGAACTTTATTTCTCTGTACGATACGACAATCCATGTCTAAGGAACTGGCTTGGGAGAGGTACATTTGCTAGGAAGGAGTCATAGCAGAGGCCAGGGAGCAGGGGAGTAGGGGAGTGGGAGAATTTGAATAGGAGAATTTGAGTGTGTCAGCAGCTGGGCGACCTGAGGTAGGGAGAAAGTGGTGGGGCCACCCACTGTGGTCTGAATGAGTCTGAGGGCTTGGTGGTGGGGTGGCAAGATGAGAGGTGGGACCAGCCTCTGGGGACATTTGTTAGGCAGGATGGGTGGGCTGGTAGGTGAACTGCGTAGGATGACAGTTCCGAAAAGACCCTCAGAGAACAGACTGAGAAAGGTAAGACAATAGAAATGAGATGTGTAACAGAAAATGTCTTCCCCCAAGCCAGTATACTTCAGTTTCTTAGTTGCCCAGGTAATAGTTCCTGTTACAGTTCCACTTGCTTCTGGTCTCTTAGAAACGGCTGGTCACTGTGTTGCACATTGTATAAACCAATCCCCAATAGAAGACCATTCTGCCCCTGTACTTCCTGCTTGCTTATCCCATATAAGCCCTAGAGCACTAGGGATCAGGGCCTGATATTCTGGGAATAATCCCGATCAGTGCCTGTCAGTGTAAATAAATCTGCCTCCAAATCCTGGGTGTCGTGTCAGTTTTTCTGTGTGCCACTGCAGATAAAGAATGAGGATGGATAAGTGAAAAGGGAGGAGAAGATGGAAGATGGTTCTGAGGGAACCTTGATTTTTTTTTTTTCCTTTTAGCTGCTGGAGTTTGTGCCCAGGGCCTCATACTGCTAGGTAAACACTTTGCCTCTGAACTATAGCCCCATGGTCATATTACTCTTACCATTAATAAAGACTGGGGGAGGCTGACGGAAAGTATGAGAATCCCACTCTCCATAACCCCCACATTTGAGAGAGAGAGAGACAGAGAGAGAGAGAGACTTAAGTGATGCGCGTTAGGCTTATAAAATAGCACCGGTTCCTTTTCCTTTTTCTTATTCCTGTGCTTAACCCACTCACCAGATTGATGAAAGAGAAAACGTTATTCCCTACGTGTGCGTCCAACCACTCAGATCCGCCAGAAATGAAACCTTTTGGCTCTCGGCATCTGTGCCTTCTACCAACTCAGAGATCTAAATTAGCCCCAAGGCGCCAAAGGCCAGCCATACATAGACAGTCTGTGCCAAGGCTCAAAAAGAATCTCAACACACACAGCCAAGATAAAGCCTTCTGCACAACACAAATCACACCGAGCTCATGCATTGAAAAGCCAGCATGAGTCCATGAACAGCATCCTCTGTATTTCATTCTGACCCTTTCTTTTCACTCATCTCCAAAGGGTCGATGCTATCGGGACTAAAAGGAGGCCTGTTCTTAGGGCTCAGTGTGTCCTGAGTGTTCTGAGACCTTGGGAGAGACAGCAAAGCTAGATTTTGTCACCTACAAGCCAGTTGTTTTAAAAATTACTTGAAGTCAAGCTTAGGAGGCTTAGGCAAGAGGATCACTTGAACCCGGGAGTTCAAGGCCAGCCTGGGCAACAGTGAGATTTTATCTTAAACAACATAAAGAAATAACATAAGCCAGATACAGTGGCATATGCCTGTAATTCCAGCTACTTGGGGGGCTGATGCAGGAGGATCGCAAGTTCAAGAGGAGCCTGGGCAACTTAGGAAGAGTTGGCTTAACATAGCACACTTGAGCACCTGAGTCCAATCCCCAGTACTGGAAATAAATAAACTTTAAATCACTTTGAATATAGCCAGGTAGTCCTTCCCATAGCTTCCTGGTCAGACCTGAAGGTCTCTTAAGAATAAGATAAATAAGGGCCATGCCTGTAATTCCCAGCACTCTGGAGGCTGAAGCAGGAGGATCATCTGAAGTTTGAGGCCAGTCTCAGCTACATAATAATCTCAAGGCCAGCCTGAACTATATAGCAAGACCCTATCTTACCTCCAAAAAAGAAAAAAAGGTAAATGAATAAGAATAGAGGAAGAAATGATAAACTTTAAAAACCAACATATATCCATGGATTTTTATGAAATTTCATAGCTCAGCTGTATAGCCATACCAAATTTTAAAATTGTCATCCTTCTGTTTCCTTTTTTGTGGCATAGGTAAAATAATATAAATTGTTCTAATTCCTGTTGAATCACTTTGAGAGTTTATTGTTGAGCTAGTTGATAAGATATGGTTCCTATAGTGAATCTAAACCCCTAAGCATAAATATCTATCTTGGGACTAAAATTTCCAGAATGTATAAGCCAGCAGATGATTCTAGAGAAATTATCTTTGCCTTGAGTCACTCATTAATAATAGTGATTACATCTTTTTAAAAGAAAGCCCCTTTCAGCTTTGAGTCAGCATTGCCTGTATTTTAGTTTCACTGTTATTGCTGCTTTTGAAAGAGTCTTCTTATAGGCTGACCTCCAATTCTCCTCCTGCTTTTGTGTCCCAAACACCTTCACTATAATTATGCAATTTTAGGAGTGTAAAGTTCCTTTTAAGTAGGGAATCTTGAAAATGCCATAAAAAAAATTTCTAATTTCCTACAAGTAAGAAAATTTATATAAATTAGACTAATGTAAGATTTCTTCTTTACATTATGGAATGGAATGATTCTGATTGTGATATTTTCCTCATAACTATGTACAAGAAAATGCATTGCTACGTAACTTTACACATCACAATACTTAACAACAATATTGTCTTTTGAGCTTGATCCATTTATTTGTCTTATCAGTTATTGTCTCCCTAGCACCTGATACAAAGATTAGCACTCATTGTGAATGCTTGGAAAATGTTGATTTTTTTTCCCGCTACAGACTTAATATTTCAGGGTAGCCCATGAACTAACAATAGCAATTAAAATGAAATATAAGGGCAGAAAAGTTACATGTCAGAAAGTTTTACCTGTTTTGGCTGAAACAATCTGAAAAGGAAAGTTGAAAAAAATTAGAACCATAGGGAAATACATAATATCAGAGCAGCAATAAATTTATCACAATACTGCTATACAAAATGTGACCAATCTTTGAATCCAACAAGTATTTTTCTGTACAACTCTTTTCTCAGCACTGAAATCTACCACAAAGCAATCCATGGAGACAGATCACATTACTATTGCATTTTTTCCTTTGAATCTGCCTATTGAACTAGGCCAGAAGTCAGTGACAGATTTTTCAGAAATCTTTGTTCTTTAAATATAATGATAATATTGTTCTAGTACACCACACTGAATTTCAAACACACAAACATATATAATCTTGGTATGATCCTAAAGTATTTTGATTTTTATCTCCCTTGCCTCCTACAAAAAAGTGAAAGATAATGAATGTGTCTCTTTTCTTCCCTAAAAAGTTGCAGGTTGTTGGAAAGGTGAACTCACCATTTTAAGGCAGATGAGAACGAATCCAATCAAAGACAAACCTTTCTCTGGTTCTCTGGCCATTCTGTTGGGCATAGCACTCACATGGCACAAAACCAGGGGTTCAGGGTCTACTTGGGCCTCGGAGGGCAGCACCGGAGCTGCTGCGATGCTGGGAAGGACCCTGAGAAGTCGCTCTTCCCCTTTGGTGTGGAGCTCACTTGTAACTAGGAGCGTTGAAAGACGAGCAGGGACAGACATTACAAAGACTGAAAAAAGGAGCTGTAGAAAGCCGTGCCAAATAGATTGATTTTCAGCAAGGGTGGTGAGGTAATCAAAGGAGAAAGGATAGACATTTTCAACAAATGATGCTGGAACAATTAGGTAGCCATACTTGAGGCTCTGAGCTCAATCACCAGCACCAAAAAAACCAAAAGCAAAACAAAATTAAAAAATGAACTTTGATCCAGACTTTACATCATATATAAAAATTAATTCAAGCTAGCCATACTGGCACATACCTGTCATCCTAGCTACTTGGGAAGATGAGGCAGGAAAGCTACCTGGGCCCAGAACAGCTGGTCCACATATGGAGACCCTTTATCAAAAAAATTTAATCAAAAGCTGGGCATGTTGGTGCACACCTGTAATCCCAGCGCTCAGGAGGCTGAGGCAGGAGGATTCTTGTGAGTTTGAGACCAGCCTGGGCTACAAAGTAATTTCAAGGCCAGCCTGAACTGCATAGTAAAACCCTGTCTCAAAAAAACGAAGCATGGGGCTGGGGATTTAGCTCAGCGGCAAAGAGCCTGCCTGGCAAGTGCAAGGTCGTGAGTTCAGTTCCTGGTACCGGAGAAAAACCAAAAAAAAAAAAAAAAAAACCAAGCACAACAAAATAATAATAATTAAAATGGATCATAAGGCAGGCATGGAGGCATACACCTGTAATCCTCCCATTCAGGAGACTGAGGCAGGAGGATCATGATGAGTTTGAGGCAAGCCTGGATGAAACAATGAGTTCAAGATCACCTTGAATTACATAGTGCCCAAATCTCTTAGGAAACTAAAGTATAACCTGGACTAGAAGCCAAGTCTTCCAATTATGAGAACAATGTGAAAAAATAATGAGGCTTTCATAAATGCATAATAACAATATGCATGAAAATCAAGTACCCAAAAATAAAGTATCAGACCTGCAGGCTGTAAAGGAATTTAGGTTCCTTAAAAACCAAAGCCTGCTATTAAATTCCTAATTATGATCTCAATAGATTCTGCCTACCTCTGGCACAAACTATTAGCTAACAGGTAAGAATCTTTACACAGGCAAATCCTGGGGCAGGAAGCAAAAGCAAAAATCATGAGTCAACTGAACAAAAACAGACTGAATTGTACACAGGAAAAACCACTTATGGCTGAGGATATAATGTTGAAAATTGTCTGAGTGTAGAACATGTGAAAACTGAGAACCACTGCAAGAACTACACGCAGAGAAAGGCCGGGGCTGGGACATGGCTCAGTGGAAGAGCACTTACTAATGAATTTGGCAAACCACACCACAGAGTAATCTTGATAGTAAAGTGTTTGGAAAGAGCTACTGTCTTGGTCACTTTTCTCTTGTTGCTGAGACAAAATACCTGATGCCCAAAATTAAGGAAGGAAAGGTTTATTTAGCTCACAGTTTGTGGAGGTGTCAGTCCATGCTCAGCTGGCTCCAAGGCAGAGTGGCCCATGGCAGAGGGCAACCTTTCATGGTGGCAGAAAACAGCAAAAGCAACAAGAGCAAAAGGGAGGAGTGGAGCAAGTAGCCTCTTTCCCTCCCTTACATATGCAAACTACCCGCCCCAGGGCAGGTGTAGCACTCACACCCATAATCCCAGCATCGGACTATGGATCAATTAAATATGTAGAAGCCTGCCCCATGAGTGCATGAGGATCTGGGGGGACATGCATACAACAAACCATAACAGATACTCACCTTCTTGCATTCTTGTTGATTCCCCTAAACCTCTCACACACACAAAGAAAAGAAAACACACGGTCATACAAAAACATACATAAATATTCCATTATATTATTTCCAAAATCGGATGAGATCGGGTGCATTCAGGGTGGTGTGGCCATAGACTCAGTTATATTATTTTAATTCCCAAACTATAGGCAAAACAAATGTTCATGGAGATGAATGATAAACAGATTAAATATTTCTCAGCAAAAAATGGGAATGAACTATTATATATACAACAACATGGGTGAGTCTCAAAATAATTGTACTGCATGAAAGAAACCAGGTTCAAAAAAAAAAAAAAAAAAAAGGAAAGAAGAAAAAGTAAAAAAAGAATACAGATGGCTTGCTTCTAGAAAATGCAAACTACTCTAAAAACAGAAAGCAAATCAGTGTTTGCCTGGAGAGGGGAAAGGGTGGGAAGAAAGGGTGGGAAGAAGGAATTATAAAAGTGTAAGAGGAAACGCTTAGGCATGGAGGATATGTTCATTACCTGAATTGTGATGGTGTCCTGGACAAATACCTCTGTCAAAACATACTCAGTTCATCTTAAAAACATGTGACTTATTTCACATCAGTTATACCTAAAACTGTTTTAAATAATCAGTCTAACCCCAAACCTCTTAAATTCCTTCCACTAAACCACCCTGCGTTCTTTGAGTTGAATATATGTTCAATCACTTCTCGGCGTTTTGGCTACGATCAAGGGTGGAATATATATGTTCAAGGCATTTTAGTCTACTCAACAAATGTGTATTGGGGGAAAAAAAATCACAAATGTGTATTGCGTATCTCTCTATTGTACAAGAAGCATTCTAGTTGCCCTCTGCCATTCTAGAAGCATATAAGTCAGAGCCCCGCAGAGATGGAACACAAACTCTAGAAATATATCAAGAGCTGCAAGATATTATGGGCCACCCAAAAAAAAAAAAAAAAAAGAGCAGGGTAACAGAAGAGAGTATTGAGGGATAGAGTGCTAGTTTATATACAGCAGTCAGGGGAGAAGTATCTGGCACCTAGATGCTTTAACACAGGTCTGAGGGAACGGAGGAGGTGAGTCCTTTGGAAATCGAGGAAAGGTTGGTGCCAGGCAGAGGGAAGAAGGACAAAGGCCCTGAGGGAGGGAGAAGGCGTAGTTAGAACAGTGTGAGCTCCCCGCCCCGGCTGCAGGGAGCGCTGGTGGGTGCCGGTTCCAGCTGAGGCTCTGACTTGCCTTGGCGGATGCGCGCTGCCTTGCTCGGCACACCCTCTACTCGGGAGAGCCATATCCCGTGCCTGGAGGATGGAAGAGGGTCTGTGCTCCTTGTCTGATTGACAGCTCTGGTGGGGAGAGCTGGATGGCGCACTGCTGGGGACCAGGCTACGAGATCGATTACGGGGGGCCTGGCTACGTGACTTAAACCAACACTGCCCCTACCCCGTCCCAAGATTGGGGAGACCTCGCTTCAGGAACAGGGACGCAGAGGAAGGCCTTGTGCCCCTGGGTATGGGCGGAATGCTTAACCTGGGACTCCTGAGGCAGGATAGCATCTGCTGAGGACAGTTCCCAAAATACAGGCATTTGGGTTTAGAGAAAATCTAGCTCCTCATTAAATTAACCCTTATACATCCACTTTTTTTGTTTAAAAAATTAATTACATTTGTTGGTACATTTTAGGCATACATAATGATCACACTCAGCGTAGGGAATTTGTACCCGTACGTGACACAATTTGACCCTTTTTTTCCCATTCGCCTACCGTCCCTTCAACCCCTCCTCCCATCCCCACTTACAAAAGCTTTGTTTCCAGATTTTCCTTTTCTCATCATGTTTTCTTTGCCCTTCCTGCCTTTCCCCCTGCCCCTCCCCCATCCATAGGTCTCCTTCCTATTTGAACATTTTCTTCCTATTTCACAATAGCTGGGAAACATTTTGGTCCTTATTTACACTTTCAGTTTCTCGCACCAGAGAAACTGGTATTTACACATATGTGTCTGGTTTATTTCGCTTAAGAGTATGTCCTCGGGGCTGGGGATTTAGCTCAGCGGCATAGCGCCTGCCTGGCAAGCGCAAGGTCGTGAGTTCGGTTCCCGGTACCGGAGAAAAACAAACAAACAAAAAAAAAAGTATGTCCTCAAGATGCATCCATTTAGCTAGAAATGTCTCAAGCTAATCCTTCTTTATGGTAGAGTAGTACTCCATCGTATAAAAAAAAACACATCTTCTTTATCTATTCACCAACTTATGGGCATTTGGACTGTTTTCAGGATTTAGCTATTACAAACTGTGCTGCTATAAACATGGATGCACATATATTGCACAGTATACCACAGTATAATGCTTTAATTCTTTCCAGAAGCTACCAAGAAGGGGAAGACGTGGGTCAAATGGAATCTCTAGTTTTAGCTTTTTGAGGAATCTCCACACTGATTTCCACAGTGATTGCACCAGTTTACACTCCCACCAACAGTGGAGAAGGGTTCTTTTTCCCCACAAACCCTCCAGCATTTGTTATTGGTTGATTTCTTGATAATAGCTGTTCTTTCTGGGGTGAGACAGAACCTCAGCATTGTGTTAATTTGCATCTCTCAAATGACTAGTAATGTTGAACATTTTTTCACATTTTTATTTGTTATTTGTACTTCTTCATCCAAGAAGTGTGTATTCATTTCAGATACCCTTTTTTGGATTGGGTCTTTAAATTTGAAAGTCTGATTTTTTTTTTAGTTTTTCATATATCCTAGATAGTAGTCCTTTGTCTGAAGAACAGCTGGCATTTTTTTTCCCACATTGTGGGTTGTCTTTTCATTCTGTTGGTGGTTTCTCTTGCTATGCAAAAGCTTTTCAATAAGATGAGATCCCAGTTGGTGATTCTTTGTGATAGTTCCTGTGCAATTGGAGTTTTGTTCATAAAACTTTGCCTACACCAGTGTCTTTAAGGGTTCTACCATCTCCCAGCAGATTTAGTTTTGTGTTTTATTATTTAGATCTTTGATCCATTTCAATTTTAGTTCAATGCATGGTGAAAAGTATGGGTCTAGTTTTAATCTTTTTAAAATTTTTGTCTTTTTTTGGAGACAGGGTCTCACTATGCAGTTCAGGCTG